CCAGGTTTCTTATACCTAAGCATGACCTATTTAATGAGGGTGGTCATCTTGTTCTTGCTACGCTAAAATTCTTCACCGATCAGAAAACAGTGACCCTGTTTTCCCGCGGTCGAAACTCGTGGTAAATGTTCCATCGTGAAAAGATAGATTCGAGTTTGCGATCAGTCGTAGTCAAATTTTCCACGTGAACAAATTAATAAATGACAGAAAGCAATAGTTATCGTAATGAGACGAAAATCTTGCTTTTCTTGAAAATTAATCCAATCTTTTATTTAATGTTTTGACTTTCAGATTTAATTCAAATTATAGTATTTGTGACATTGTGACATTTTAAATATTCGAATTACTAATTTTCAATGTTAATGACGAGCAAAAGTAGAATTCGAACGTGTTAATATTCTTTTGTTAGTAGGAAATTAATTTTATCGAACAAGCTGTTAATTAAAATGAGAAATAATTTGAGGTAAATTACAAGCAATAATTGTAAGTAATTCAAATTAATTCATTGCAATATTTCGCGTTAAATATATAATAATCAAGCGTTCCATGGAACTCAAAGGCTATAATTAAATTTGTTAAGGAGTTATAATGCACAGAAATTGTAGTCAGTGGAAACGGTGGAAAAATTGTATAGATGTTTATTAAACGGTTATGTTAAAAATGTTTATTAAACTGTCTATTTAGGGCCACACAGGTCAAAAGACGTCTCCAGAAATCGGGAGACAAAAGACAAAACGCTGGGAAATGGATCGCTCTCGTATCGCTAGGATGTAGAGTTTATTTTAATATTTAGTTTTTACTACAACAAAATTTTTGAAACATTTCAAGCTATAAGAGAAAGAAAATTGCAAATTGGAAAAATATAAAAAGAGACGGAGAAATTCGAAATAAATACTAAATTAAATTCCCCACTAGATTCTCGATTTCCATCCGATAATCAAACCACTGTAGAGCAATACTAATCTTCAGAAGAATCTAGTAAACAAAACTCCGGCGTAAACACCCTCTTAAAGCACCCTCGACCACGTAAACATCATTTCTTCCGAATTTCCCATTGAAAATCAAGACCATCGTTTCTTTCGATTATTCTTATATTAAAAGCTATGGTCTCCTAATCATTATTAAGAAAATTACGGTCATAAATGATCAATACCAATAACCAAATTTTTGAAACATTTGAAACTATAAGACAAAAAAAATTGGAAATTGGAAAAATATAAAAAGGGACGGAGAAATTCGAAATAAATACTAGATTAAATTCCCCACCAGATTCTCGATTTCCATCCGATAATCAAACCACTGTAAAGCAATACTAATTTTCAGAAGAATCTAATAAACAAAACTCCGGCGTAAACACCCTCTTAAAGCGCCCTCGACCGTGTAAACACCATTTCTTCCGAATTTCACATCAAATATCCTCGAAAATCACGAACCACGACCATGACGATCGATCCTTTTAATCATTCTTATATTAAAAGCAAGGGTCTCCTGATTATTATTATTATCCGATAATCAAATCACTGTAAAGCAATACTAACCTTGAAAAGAATCTAATAAACAAAACTCTGGCGTAAACACCCTTTTAAAACACCCTGTTTCCGAATTTCCCATCGAAATATCCTCGAACGACCACCATTCCTTTCGATTATTCTTATATTAAAAGCTAAGGTCTCCTGATTATTAAGAAAATTACGTTCATAAATGATCAATACCATTTCAAGTTCTAAGAGAAAGAAAATTAGAAATTGGAAAAATATAAAAAGGGACGGAGAAATTCGAAATAAATACTAAATTAGATTTCCATCTGGTACTGAAATCACTGTGAAGCAATAGTAACCTTCGAAAGAATGTAGTAAACAAAACTCCAGCGTAAACACCCTCTTAAAGCACCCTGCTTCCGAATTTCCCGTCGAAACATCCTGGAAAATCACGAGCCACGACCACGACCATCGTTCCTTTCGGTGCCCTTAAAACGCGGGAAGGGAAAAAAATAAAAGGGAA